TCAGTGACTAAAGCTTCACTATTCTACCTTCCTGCTTAAACTACTTTTTCTGCTTTAGTCTAACCATATTTAAATGAAGAAGATGTATATAATTTGAACTGCCTGTTAGGTTTATCAGTACTATAGCAAAACTGGATTACAGTCTTTCAGTTTTTTAAAACAACAAATTTGCGATTGCCTAGTAAACGCTGTTACAGATATCCTGCAAACAAAACAAAATGATATAATGAAACTTCGAATGCAAATATTTTTCGGCAAAACAGCAGTTTTGGCGTAGATTTTGAACAAAATGAGATTGCTGCTTTGCCTAGTTTTAAATTTTACTTTGATATGCTTTCTTCCAATCTGATCTCTTGAAATTTTTAAATCTAGATGTATTCCTCCACTTCAGCTAGAGAGATTGGAGTACTCTTATAAGTCTGACTTTATAAAATGTAAAAATAAGACTGATATTTAATTTCTTCCGCAGAAAATGATTTATATGTATTTTGGATTTTAAAGAGCTATGTTTTAATTTTTTATGAAATGCCCGCTGTAAAAGTTTTTCTTGTTGACGGAATTTCAAAGAATCTCCTTTTCATTTTTTGAAATGACATATGAAGTATGAGTTAAACTTCAAAAGTTATTTTTTAAAATAAAAAAAATAGTTAAATTTAATTAGATTTTATCCTTTAAATATTACCATGTTGGTTAACATACAGTTTCATACGCTGTAAAACAAAGCTGTATTGTTAATAAACTTTTCTACATTTTTTTCTACAAGAGTAAATTTACAATTTACAATATTACATTACAACTTTATAAGTATTTAGAAAACGAAATTGTAAAAATTTTCCAAAGAGAATGCTTATAAATAAAAAGAATGGCCATTATTAACTTGTAATATTCTAGTTGAAATACAGTCCTGTAATTGCTAGAATTTAGTAAATTAGTATATAGAACTGAGAAGCGACTATTAGCTAAGTTCTTGTAGCGTAAATAACAGCTCCGAAGAGGAGTTAAAATACTCCTATATTCGAACTCAAGGTATTTACAGACGGCCTACTTGGGCGTACAGAAAGACACTTTCGGCTTGAACTTGAAATAGAAAATGTAAAATTAAACTAAAGTTAAATAGAATGAACAGCCTAAGCTTCACAGAGTTGTTACCACGTAATTGGCTCTTATTTAAAACTCACAGGGGTAGACTTATAAGGTATTTTCTTCCTCCTTTCTGCATGCCTTCGTGGTGTAACGGTAGCACACTTGGCGCGTATATGAGAGGTCCAGTTTCGAGTCCCGGCAAGGGTATTGCACAGTTTTAACTCCTCCTGCATAAAAAAAGTGTCATTACTCTAAAGTGGCGCCCGAACTAAAAAAGGGTGGTGGATGATGATTCTTTACCAACTGGATTTGGTGATTGGGTCCCCTAATTCCCAGTCACCCTTTAAAATGGGGAGTATATAATATATTTTCTTCCCCCTTTATGCCTGACTTCGTGATGTAACGGTAGCATACTCGGCGCGCATTCGAGAGGTGCAGGTTCGGTCTCGGCGATGGCATTACACAGTATTCACTTCTCCTACATAAAAAAAGGCCTATTGACTCACAGGCACGTAACCCAACGGAGTGAAAAGGTACACTTTCTCTCTAACTCTCGAGCTCCCTAATTGAAGTACCTCAGACCTGAGCTTAAATAGTAGATGCTACCCTATTCTGCATACCGCGTGAAACTGAAAACTCATTCTGGTAGGAAAGCATAGGTAGGAAAAATAAAAATAACTATTAATAAAACAAAATAAAGCCTACAAACTTATTATTTGAAAAAGCATTTTGTTTTGCACATTCTTAAATATGCTCCTATACAACGATGTAAAAAATCTTTGTTTTTTCCCTTACTCTATTCATGAAACTAACAGGTTGAGTAAAATTAATGTTTAAATTCTTACTTAGCTATTACAATAAAAGTTTATAAAAAAAGAAGAAAAAGGTTAAAGTAATGGAAGAGATGATTCTTATCAAAGCTTAAGCTGAAGTCTTTGAACGTTTTAATTAATTTCTTTCATCGAGGAAGTCATCAAATATCAAAATTCTAATCCGATGAAAATGTAAAGAAAATCATTAAAATAAAACTGGTTGGGATATAAATGAATTCTCCTGTTTCGAGATGTAGTCATTATAGGAGAATATATTTTGATTCAGAGCTGTGCTAAAAACAATCGACTTGAGTTTTATTTTTATTTTATTTATTTTTTCACATAGAAATTACTTTTATTTGACGAAATGAACTTAAATAACATATAACACGAATTGAAGTATTAAATTTATAATGGCTTTATGCAGGCATACCCAATTAAATCCAATGTTTGTACTAAAAATTTAGAAAATTCTATTTCAGCTTACTTTGCATCTTCTTAATGCAGTTTTGTCATTTCACAAAATTCAGTTTGGTACTTGCGAATTAACGCAACCGCCTGTGTAAATGTAGGCAAATTTTCAGAATGTGTCAAACTCCGGCAACCATGCACATAAACATTCTTCTGGCAATCATATGTATAACAAACCGTCCTTTAGTCAAGTAACCCCTGCATTTTCGTATGCTTTCCCTTTTGCTGTACTCCAAGTCCGAACAGATGTTATTAACGAATTTTTCTATCATTGCGTTCATGAAACTGTTAAGTGAAGAGAATTAATGCTTAGTGTCTTACGTGGTCATTACAATGAACTAAAACAAAATAGATCAAAGTAATGGAAGAGAGGGTTCTTATCGAAGTTTAAGCGGAATGAAATAAAAAATGCAGGTTCTAGAACTTTAAATGAAATGTTTTTATTGCGGAAGTCATAAATGTTCAAAATTGTAATCTAATGAAAATATAATGGAAAGTCACCACAATATTATTATTTGGGATGTAAATGAACCATCCTGTTCCAAAATGTAGTCATTAAGGAAGAACATATTTTTATTTAGAGCTTTGCTTAAAAAACAGTTGACTTGAGTTCTGTTGAGTTCGTATTTTTTTTAAACATGGAAATTATTTTTATTTGACGGAATGAATGCAAATAATATAGAATACAAATTTAAGTATTAAAATTATCATAACTTTATTTAAGCATGACAAACTATACTCAAATATTTATTCTAAAAACCGGGAAAATTCTACTTCTGTTTATTTTTGGTATCTTCTTAATGCTGTTTTAAAATTTCGCAAAATTCAATCTTAGATGCTCTCTGGTTTTAATAAAAAGGTTTATTTATTTATTTTCTTATCAAGATACAATCTGATGCAGAATTCTCATCTTCAACACGCAGATTCTGCCTCTTAAATAAGATTCATTTGTTCCAAACCGCCTTTTTAAATGCTTTAAGAATTTTAAATACAAAAGCAACTGAAGTAAATTCATCTAATCTGGAAAATTTCACATTTTTCTTACTGCTATTGGTTTACTCATTTTAAGATACAAAGCACTGAAGCCTTATTTTCGGAAGCAAGTAAGTCTTGCTCAATTTAAACTACAAACTTCAAAGTTTACTTACGATGCCTACCCATGTTATTACACATATTTTCAGATTTAGAATGTGCAGATTCAAATCTCATTCGAAATAGGGTATTAATACCAAAAGTTGGATAAAGCACCTATCCATATTTAATTAGGTTTGGTTATTTGAACGTGGGAAAGTACACGAGGGTTATCTGCTTGAAGAAAGCTCTTGTACAGGATTTTTCCGGAGAAACTGGATGACATTTATATGGAGAAAACCACAGAAATGCCCATGCAGCTAATACCCTCCACCGTTCGTTAGGATTTGAACCTTTGTTGAACAACCTGTGATTGGCGGTATTAACCACTTGGTTGTTATTTGAGGTTCCCGATTAAGGAGATATCGCACTCAAGAGTTACGAAAGGGTAGATAAAGGCGTTGTCTTTTGTTTACCCTTTCGTAATGTAATAAATAATAATAAATTTCGTTCGACGTTTTCGTAATAAAATTCTTTAACCAAAATCTTTCGGCTTCAGACGGCAATCATGTAAATACGGCGCTGTTATCATAATAATCTACATTGTTATTTTCTAATGAGATGGGAAATTAATCGCGGAAAAAATTTTGAGAAATTGAATTTTAAAATTCATGTAAAAACATACGTGGGATTTGTCATCAAGCTTTCTCTCATTTAAATTGCTTCTTTAGCATGAATTTAGAGAAAACAGGAGGATAATTCCTTATGCTCAAGAAATAACTACGAGTGGCATGAACTGGTAAATGGAAAATGTGGGCAAAGTACGTTTTGTCTGAAACAAAAGGAAAAAACGTAAAACTGAGACAGAGTGTGACAAAGATTTCGAAAACTTTATTAAAGGAACAATAAAGATTACAGGAATAGAAAATTTTAACAGAATTTAGAAGGGTTAAAAAATGGTTTACTACATAGCTTTTCAATAAAAATTGAACCAGAATTAATTCCTTTTTAATCGTTCTGAAAAGCGGTATAGCAAAAGATGGCATAATGTAAAATTTCTTACAGGCTAGGAAAGAAAGATTTTTATTCAAAACGTCAATTATTCTTTATTATTTCTCAATCTAAACATGTGGAACATTTGAAATATTGCTTTCCAATGTTTTACAGTGCATGTAAAACGGCCTCGTTTTGAAAATTACATAAAAATACTTTATTCACATTTTATAAATATAAGAATATTTTTTTAAGTATAGGTATAATACTTTTATATGCTATGAAGCAATTTTTTGTATGAGAAATAAATCATACACAGTAACCACATTTTACGACATTTCGCTAACCGGCTTTACCTTATAAAAATATCTGACATTATGATATTCAGAGAATTGTTATGAATTATTCATAAAACTTACAACATAACTAATGGGGAAACATTTTCATGGACACTCTCTCAACATATTTGTGGCCATTTAACCTTGTTTAATGGAACCCGAGACTTGCTTGGAATGCTAAACCATTCATCCGGAGAAATTAATCTCCTTACCTAATGAAAATGCGAGATATTTTCAAACTATATAAACCGGCGAAATTTTATCAAATATCAGTTGGAAATCGGAAAGCAACAAACAGTCAACATGATCTCTCAGGTAAAGGCTTGATAGTATTTATTTCATTTCTATTTTGTTATTATTTTTCATATCAAAAGTTTTGAGTTAAAATATTGCATACAAATTTTCCAAACTTAATAAGGAGAAAAAGACAGCTGTCTGACAAAAACTTTTTTAATTAATGTTATTTTAAATTTTATCAAATAGTCTTATTTATAATAGTTTATTAAAATAGTTTATAATACTTTTTTTAAATAGTCTAATTTGTATAGATAACGAATTAAAAAAATTTAAAAGATTCCTTTCGCAAAATTTAAATTAAAAAAATCTGATGGGTCATCATGACTTCCTTGTACGGAATATTAAATTATACGCATTTTTTCTTGCATTTTATTTAAACTTATTAGATTGAATTAAACCTACTTCGCCGACAGCGCATAAACCGCAATAGAATAAACGCATTTTTTAAAATTCCCTTTGTTTACCATAGCGACACTCTGGCGCTAGGTTTACTTAACAGTATTATATTTCATTCATATTATAACTCAGAATGCACAAAATGTATATCATTTAAAGAATTATCTAATCGTTGCCACATGTTCTATTCAAAAACTATAATAAAGCTAGAACTATGTATAAAAGAAATTAATCAAACAAAACAAAAAAGAAACAGTTTCTCACAGACGATAGAGTATTGCTCATTTAATTAATTCAGTTCTCACTTCGCGAGAAGGCAAAAATACATAAAAACTCAAAATGTCTATATTAAAAATTACGACCTAAATCTCAAACGCTATTTCCTCGAAAAATTCCAGAAAGAATTAAGCATGATTTATTGGCAGTAAAAAATTAATGCGTTATCTTTGTTGTTGCGAAGCTAAGTTACTCTAGATTAACAAATCCACTAGTCTCCTGTTTAAATGTAAACATCATGGCCGCCGTTAAAAACAGGTTAGCGGCAATTAAACAATTTTAAAATGCTGATAACTCTAAAAATATTGCACACAGATTTACTAAAGGCATAAAATCCTTAACCGGAAGATAAAAAACATAATCAATCATTTTTAAAGCAAAAAATGTACAATTTACAAAATAAGAGTAAGAAACTGAAATCACTGAGCCGAGTGGATATATAATATACTTATATAAATATATTTATATACGTTTGGTGCGGCCGATTGCAACCAAAATACGAGGTGCACATCTACATGTTATGGCAGTCCTATATACAAAATTTCAACGTTCTGAGCTACTCGTTTTGAGTTATGCGAGATACATACGTACGTAGCACGTACGTAAATACGTTCGTACAGACGCCACGAAATTCTCTTCAGAATTAATTTTAAAGCAGTTTATAATTTTTTTGAAGGAAAAGAGTATTTTATTCTGTCCTTACGTACGATATCACGCAAAAACATTGTTAAATTGCATTCGATAGCGGTCAAAATGGATATTTTCATTGAAATATGCTGCCTGAAACTTTTCGCGATTACAATACTTCCTTTTTACTTCGTACAAGGAAGTAAAAAGAAATAGTTTGTGTTAATATTAAAGCGTTTAGAATTACGAAGCGTATTAGATTTAAATTCAGCATTCTGGATTACAAATCGCATTAAAAAGATTGAAAATGTGATGCTTGAAAAAAAAAAAGCTGTCTAATTGTCGTTTAATTAGAAATTCTTACCAGTGAATTCTATTATCGACGCTTCGGTTTGATATGGTTTGCAAACACTGCATTTAATCAAACAATGTATATAATAAAAGAGGATGTTTATAAATTAGGAATTTACTGACTGCGGGGACGTATTTATAGGTAGAAATACATTACTCACTGCGTTATGAAGAAGTATAATTTAAACAACTTTTAGAGTATGTTACACAACATTTAAAAGATTATACGATAAGATTTTAGGAAAAAAATTTTCATTTATGCGAAAGCACTATTTTACTTTCTGCTTAATTTCTCACTTTAAAAATTAAAATAAGTAATTCGGGTGAAGGGAAAGAGATTTTACTTAAATTTAAATTTACTCAAACAAATTCAAAATGAAAAGCAAAAATCAACGGGAGGATTCAGTATCGGCATACAGTCAACTCGTAACATTAAAAGTGAAGAATATTTCATGTTTAATGGTCATTTTGTATGATTTTACAGCAAATCAAAAGAAAAATCTGAAAGCTTTCAGATTTTATATTACGCCCTAAGGCACGTTTTTTTAACGTTTTGTGGGTTACCTTTATTTATTAAATATCATGTTCTTCGCACTTAAACCAATAAAATTTAATTCAACAGCAATATCTCAAAATATTTAAAAGAACACATTTTAGAATTTCCCTACACAGTCTCGCGCGCTCGAGATGAAGATATTTTTTTTTCCGTACAGTATTGCTATTGCCCGCTTTGAAATCGTTGTGTTTCTTAATCAAAAACTTATAATTACTTTCCAAAATATGAAATAGATCACAAAACAAATTCCAGATGCCCATATTCGAGTGGAGACATATGTTATTCAAAATTTGATGGCTCTAGGTACCGTTGTTTTATCACAATGCGAGAAACACATACATACATTTATGCAGGTTCTTCATTATTTAATTACTTTAAATATAATACATGGCTCTAATATTTGGTGGCAACAATTTAAAAGGTGATTCGCCGTTTGTAGTGAATCAACGTAAAATACTAAAACGAAATTAACAGCCTTTCTGCGCAAATTGCCCCTTTAGGCTAAGAATTGTATATGAAAAGGTTTTTTTCATAAATAAGGCAGAGAAGAAAACAATAAGAATGTTGACTGATGTAAATAGTTCGAAACTGATCTAATTACATTAGCACTCTTCGTTCCTGTATGTAACAATTATTTGTTCTTTTTACAGGTGTTCATCATCGCTATTGTAGCTACTGCTGCATTCGCATGGGTTGTCGTAAGTAAAAAATTCATTTAATCGCCATAAATATTTTTATGTATCAATTGAATTTTCTCCAATAAATACCATGCTCTATTTTAAGCATTGTCTATCGATTCAAGAACTATCTAAAACTATCGATTTCAAGGGCTATTAAACATAGCTCCCTCAGGAGTAAGAAGTCGTCATCGAAACTGATGGAATTGCATAGATAATCTGCCCAAAACTGAGTCGAAATCAACTAGTTTGAGTTTTATTGAAAGTCTTCAAATGAAGTTGCTTTTTTGCTTAATATTGGACAGTTTCTCTTCCAATTAAAATAATAAGTTTGAATTTTATATATTGGACTAAAACCATATATTTGTAACATTTAAACGAAATAATATGCTCCTAAAAATTACATGAACAGAAGTAGGAAAATAAGCTTTCACTAATCGTTTATAGTTAACATTAATAAAATTGCTTACACAACACTTATATTTTTATTATTTCTTATTTCCTCTATTGTTATGAAAGAAGAAGATTTAATGATGAAAGAAATGCCTGTGACAAAAATTACTTAAGGATACTAATTCTTTTATACTATAATAGAAAAGACAGCTAAAAATGTAGACCAAAGAAAAATATTCCAATACTTTTAATTAAAAATAAATTATTGAAATTGTACAATGCTCAATTTTAATATTATTCACATAGCAATTTTATTGTTAATAACAGATATCAGTATCTGTAAAGTTTCATATTTTCATAGTTATTCTGAATCTAACCTACGCTCAAACTGGAATATTGGTAAACGTACGTTAGCTCGACAAATTTCTCACAAATTATGAGTTAAATATTTAGTAAAATATTTGAAATCTTTCAATAAAACAATTTATTTATTACAAATTAAGGAATCACTATAAACTCAGACTAGAAATTAAAATTATTGCATGATAAAAAAGTAATAAAAAATCTCTTTTGAGTAAAATATATAAAAAAATTACCGTTTTGTTTATTACCTAACGCTAAACGAACATAACACACTTTATATATATATAACTAAAAATGTATTCTGAATTTGTGTAAGATTTTTTCCTGGTACTCTAAATGAAATCTTCTGTTTATAGCCTGTTCATCATGCTCCCCAACCATACAAATTTGGATATAACATAAAAGACCACCATAGTCAGCAGCATAGGGAAGAAGTCGGAGACGGCGTCAGCGGAGTGAAAGGAAGTACGGATCACCGATGCTCGAGGATTCACAGACAGGGAACTATGTTGCCGACCACGCTCTTTATGCTCAGGTGAAGACCTGAACCAGGAACCGCCAACCAGAACCCCTGCTTTCAAGTAATCTCTCTTCCTCCTCTGGTGGAATCGATTGGGATATTGGCATTTGGGTGGATCTCATGATTAAACGGTGTTGGATTGTTTACGGAGGTCTGGGCTCCTAAATGGTGGACTTAGTTATGGATCTAATCTTAAATGGCCTGCAATATGGAATCCATGGAAATGGAGGTCCGGATATGGAGATTTGGATGGAGGTCTTGGTACGATTCTAGGAATCGTGGATGTTTGGGTGGCTATGGTCTATCCAGCGGTCTTCTCGGAGGCCTGGGATACGCTCGTTATGGATTTTAATCCTGTTAAATACTTTATAAACTAAAGGATGTGATAAATAAATGATGTGATAATTAAACTTTCTTATATTGCGGATTAATTATTTGACATGATCTTCAGCATTTAGAGTTTAAGCTGAAACTGTACTACGCAAATGATATCAGGTAATTCTTGAATAACATGGTGATAAATAAATAAATAAAGTGTATTATACTGCAAATTTGTTTAACATAAATACTGTAAGGTAATGTAATTAAGGAACAATAAGAGTTTTCAATGAAATTAATTTTTGACAAGAAGAGATTTAACAAACGCGAATAAAATATGGAAATGTCACACATAAATAATGAAAGAACCGAAGGCTTTCGATTTCAAGTTCCTGCTTTCTTAAAAGGATTTTTTGTTTTGTCGTACTGCTTTACAAACCAAGTACTTTAAAGAAAAAATACGTTTGCAATATATTCAGGTTACAATGAATTAGAAACACAGTGAATGATAATTAGTGATATGAAACTCAGTGAAATCTAAATTGCATGAAATTAGGAGCTCAAACACGGGGCACTTTTCTTTGAGAAATTGTAAAGTAAACTAAACAAAGTATTCTAAAGTAAACTAAAAAAAATTTCAAAATTAAATTTTATTTGAGCTCTTATAACACTTTTATTAAAATTAATTGTTCTTAGCACATATTTGTTATTATTTATGAACTAGTTGCAGCATTATGTAGCAGTTTAAACAAATTAAATTTTGATATTACTGTAGAGTTTAAAATTTTACCGAAACAATGTTTACTTTTCTCAACAGAATACATCAGTAAATGTTATTTAAGATGGGATGACCACATTACAAAATGCAAAATGTGATTAAATTTAGTTTTTAAGATTTTAGTGTGAAAATAATTTGAAAAATATATTTTATTAAACTTTAAAACAAAACTTAATTTGAATAATCTTTCCGAAAATATGATCATCTATAATAATAAAAGCAAGTGTAATGTGTCTGTCTGTCTGTCTGACCGAGCTCTCCAGCCAAATCTATCGCACGCAGACCTGGAATTTTTTTTACGGAAGCACAAAAGGGTGGCCACCAGACCTCGAAGCCCGATTTTCGATTTGAATTAGAAAAATTTTAAAAAATTTATAATTAATTAATCACGGTTTTTTTTGACTCACTGATATTATTTGTTTCAAATAAACGTTCGATTGTAACAATTGATTTTTATTCTAGCGTTAGTTTGCTGTTTTGACGATACATTATCGATTAATTACAATTCATTCTTTTTTAGCTTGGGGGGGGGGCAGAGAGAGAGAGACAGTCTACATGTCCTACACTACTATTCCTGCATTTTCACACTTATCTGCATTTTCACACTTATCTGCATTTTCTAAATGCACGGGAAACGCCGGGCGGGTACAGCTAGTTTAAAATAAAGGTAGTAGCTTCAGATGAAATATGAAGCTATATCCGAGCTAAGATTATATTCGAAGTCCTAACTATTACTTTAGAGACTTGTAAATTCTAATCAGAAAACTTCAAAACGAAATCTGATAATTGTGTTTAACACCAAATTTTATTTACCTTCGTTTCTGAAACCCAAAGCATCGTGGCATTAATTTTAAACTAAATATTTATTTTTAACTCAGTAATCATAATTTTTTGCTGATTGTTTGCAGTACTTGTAATTTAATATTAATCATTGATAATTTTCAAAACAAAATTCAGAACACGAGAAGAAAATTTAAAACTTCACAAATGAAAGCGCGTTCATCAGGAAAAAGTAATGACTCAAATGCTTAAAAGCTTGGCGAAAATAGCAGTAATTCTTCGTACCATAAAATAGTAACATAAAACAGAAAATATAGTAGGAGCATACATAATGAAATATTGAATATAATAAAACATATTCTTATGAATTTATATGCATGTGACCTGCTGAATAAATGCCTGCACGGTAAATCACAAATTGTTAAGGAATGCTTCAATGCCACTTAAGAAATATTTGGATGAAAAGTGACAAAGCCATAAAATACATGCAATAAAATAAAAGAATAAACCTTAAATAAGAACAAGCGGTTCCTGTCTTATGAAAGAAGATAAAAGCTATTAAATGAAATGTGCCAGAGATCTGTAACATAATAAGGCATAAGCAATGGTCCACTTATAGAAACATTAGTTTTACCGAAGCAAGAGACTGACAAAATGTAGTCATGCTCCTCCCCGGGACTTGAAATCAGGACAGCCGTACATGCTATCCAGTTACACAGCGAAGGCACACGGGAAAGAGGGAGGAAATACCTTCATAAACTTAAGGACATTCAATCAATTATTACCGAAATTTTAGGGAATTATAAAATAAAATATATTTCTAAATTTATGTTTAAGATTTTATTTATGCTAATTATCACATTCACTCTCAAAGAAAATGCTGAGATTTGCATGAAACAATGAAATCTAACTTATTTCTGTTTGAGCAGTAGTTGTGTTAAATTTCTGACGTATTAATAATAAGCCTTACAAACATGTTAGATGAGAAAATGCCAAAGTATCATTTTGCTCAGATTGGGAAATAAAACGCAGTGATTATGTACGAAATGGCATTTAATTAAGATATGATGAACTTCACCGCTCTGAAACTATAATTCTCTGTTTCAGTCAAGTTTGGTCTTCTGAGGTCATAGTTGTCTTAGAGAGTACGATTGTAACGATTATGATATCGGAGATGTACACTCATTTGATTATACTCTGAGAAATAGTCCATTTAAGCGGTGACCATTTTAGGAATGTCTTTCATTGTACTACTTTTTGAATGATTCAGGATATGCGCAGTCACAGAAAGAAATTTTTTTCTTTTCGATTTATGTCAAATGTTTCTACACATAAACATGCCCACGTTAAATTTAACAAATATTTCATCTGAACTATTAACCAAATGTAGTTAAAATTCACTACATTTGGTTAATTAGAGAAACAGTAAATAAATCTGTATTGCTTACAGAATAAACAAGAGAGAATAATGCAAACCGGATCCATTATTTGAAGGGTTAACACTGATGCAGTTTAGATATGCTATAGAAAAAGTGGAGCAACAGATGTCGAATACCAGCATACCTTATAGTTTACCAAAATTTTAATTCCATAGTTAGGGTACATTCATTACAGCAGAGAAGAAGAAGAAGTAAAATTTTCTGATGAACTGCTAGAGTTCAGCGTTGAAACTTACTGATCATTAATCTTTAAATCAAGTAAGAAGCAAT